ACCTGTAATTGGTATATTAAATATGAACGCGTAAGTACTGTTGTTGTTGCACAAACTAAAATATCCAATTACCATTTTGTGCCACAAACAACATGAAATGTAGTACATGGCAGGAAGTTTTATTACATACAGATATTTACATAAACATTTGGCACAACATGGGGGCTGCCTCGGTTGCCTAAGAGACCCTGGGGTCGAAGTGACCCGGGTTGACACCCTGGGGTCATGGAGACCCGGGTAAGATGACAATGTCATGGGGTCTTATGGACCCGGACTGTGTAGCTGTGAGAGGGATATGCCGGTCCTGGGGTCCGATGACCCGGACGATCCCTAGAGTTAAGCTAGTACTGGTCGTGCTGACCGGACAGTACCGAAATAGCGTAAGTTCTTTGGGGGCCACAAGCCTTCCATGCTCTGAGTATGGAGTGGCTTATGACGCCCAAACGAGGTTAGCAACCGAGAGCCCCCAAAGAATTAAGAATATAGGTAAATAACATGAATATGGTACTTAGTGATGGTGACACATAGCCTTGTGGGCTTGCCCTAAGGTGGAATCGGACGTTCTGATATGAGGTGATCCTTGATGTGAACGGTGGCCGCCGTGGTAGCTGCTCCTATCCGGAATGAGTGCCCGGAGTAATCGGCGGAGTTGTAGCCAGTCAACGTGAGGACCCTATCTAACCATGACAAAAACACAGTCCTGGATATTGGTAGATAGTCCCGATTGACGAACAGCGGATCCTGGTATGCCGCCCTGCACTGCGTTCTAATGGAATACAGTTTGGACAAGGCCGAGTAGGGACATGTCATAGTGTCAGTAGCGAATAAGGCAATGCTAACGCCTAGTCGGAAGGGATCAGTCTTAGACACTTTTAAGGTTATAACACATGTTCTTTTATGATGTACGATGTCGCTCATGGTTATGTTCCTACTGGGATCAAAGTTGGCTGAACATGTGAGTTCACCGCATCTCAAGAATCCGAAGAACGCTGTAAGACACATACATTCCATTACCAAATCGTTGAAAGGACCGAACACGCGATCCCTGAGCCGCTTGATGATGTTACGTAGCACATGGTAAGTGATGGGGAGTCTCTTCCTCCGCTCTGGTGTATGGGCCCGTTTGTATCCTCTGAGTAGAGTTTGAATCCGATTTAGGGCACCGGTTGAGACATCGTCAAACAGTGTCCTGATGCCCGCTTGTAGGTACGTAAATCTGATTCCCGCCAGATAAGTCTTCACGGTGTCATGTGAGAGTTTGAGGAAACCGAAGCAATGTGCAAGAAAGTACTGAAGGAAGGCGTCGTTAACTGGTGGCAGGCCGCTGCTGGCACCCAGTGTGTTGAACAAGCTGAACTTTAACATGAACTTTAGGTAGCACTGAAATCCTGTAGAATATGCTGTTCTTGTTTGTCGACTGATCGCAGCTGACCACAGGGTGTCCAGGTGACGGTTCAGGTCCACGTCACTTGTGAGCTGGGTGGGCAAGGCGTTGGATGGAGGTCTGCATGGGGCGCCAGGGCTCGGAATTTCCTGAACTGCAAACGGGAAAGAGCATCTGCAATGTTATTTTGTACACCTGGAACATGTTCAGCTAACACAATAAAGTTATTTATAGCTGCTTGCCATGTAAGGGTCCGCATCAGAGCCATAATGTCCATACATTTTGATCTACCCTTTTTGATAATACCCACAGTAGCTATATTGTCACAATGAAACAGTACTCTCTTCCGTGTCCAATGTCGTCCCCACAGAATGGCCGACACCACAATAGGATAAAGTTCCAACCAAGCAATTGATTGTGCTGAGTCTCGACTGTTTATAACGTCCTGAGGCCACGCCTGGGCGAACCATGCCCCATCAAAATATCCCCCGTGTCCTACACTTCCAGCTGCATCCGTATACAGATTGAGATCCGGAGCTGATGTGATATGGTCGTCATGGAAAAATGAGATGCCATTCCACTGGTCCAGAAATTTTTTCCACATGTGCATCTCTATCCGACATTGCTTAGATAGTCTGATATGGTGGTGCAACTTGACCACAGTGGCCGACAGTCGAATCAGATAAGATAGGAAGGATCTGCCTGGTACTACCACTCGACAAGCATAGTTTAAATGCCCTAACAAAGACAGCAACTCTCTTTTCGTACACTTAGTCCGAGTAGAAAATGATGTTAACATATCTGCTATCCTTTTCAACTTGTTCTCTGGTAAGCTCGCCGTCATCGAGACTGAGTCCAATATGATGCCAAGGTATTCTAAACAAGTTACAGGTCCATCAGTCTTGTGAACAGCGAGTGGAATTTGTAGTTTGTCGAACAAGGTTAAGATGGCATCCATAGTTGTGCTAGCTTCATAACCGGGAGGATCAATAGTCAGGAAATCATCTAACAGATGCAGAATGTTTTTAACGCCGTAGTTGTATTGCAATATCCAGCACACGGCTTGTGATAGGGTATCGAAAATCTTTGGACTGGATCTGCACCCGAACGCCAATCTAGTGTAGAAGTAGTACCTATCGTCCCATCGGAAACCAAAGAACGGCCAGTACCTGGGGTGCAGCGGAATCTGTTTGAATGCGTCGGTAATGTCCACCTTACACATTTGTGCACCATGTCCCAGTTGCTTAATAACTGCAATAGCATAGTCTATGGTCACATAAGAGAGTGAAGCAGATTCTTTACTAATGAGATCATTGATACTTGCGGTATGTTCCGAGTTATGTGGGGCTGACAGATCAAGGATTAGCCTCTTCTTGCCCGAGTACTTGCCCGTGGCAACTCCTAAGGGGTTAATTCTGTAAACAGGGTATGGAGCCCGCTGGAAAGGTCCGATAACGTACTCTTTATCGACTTCTGTTTGCACTGCCTTAGTCACAACTATTGGATCCAGTGTAGCACTATGATTGTTCTTACATTCTGTTGTGGACTGTGGAACATCCGACATTAAGGGGTCGAAGCCATGGTGCAAGCCGTTGACGAGATATGTAGCAAATGGAGGATGGGGATGAGAGTTAGTCAAGCTTGGTTGTCCTGTCTCGATTTGGGAGCCTTTGCACAATTCACCTGTCCGTGGTTTGGGGCATGACAATTGAGACATACATGAAGGTATGCACAGTTCACTATCGCACAGCCCTGGTGATTGAAATTATTGCAGACCTCCCTTCCGTTTGTCCTAACTCTAGGTCGTCCCCTGGTGTCGTTTTTGTCCATCGCCCCCATCCTGTCGGAGCTGACACTTCGGTCCGAGAACAGGGTAGGCCTAACTGTATCAGTATGTCGCTCAGGACACAAGTCTGTACCATGGGTGATGCTGTGGCAAATCGCACACGATCTGGAACGGCGCCCCGAAGAACACAGCCCGTACAGACGTGTGTCCCTCATATCCCAGCGAATGCTGCAACCTTGTTCTGCGTAGGACGCCACTCTGGCAGCAAATAACTTGTGGTAGTCATAGTGCGCAGAGCCCCCATACAACGTAGCCAGTTCGATGACAATTTGCTCGTGTCCGTCCAATTGTTTCCGTTTGGCGTTATTGATGTCACAAAGAATGTCCTTGTAAATGCCAAAGGCCTGTATGAATTCTGCTAGTGTAAGAGTGCGATTTAGCCCAGCATCCTCCTTTAAATGATATACATTGCCATCATATTCGGCCATTCTAGCGTCTAGAGTGTCTTGATTAGGTATCAATAACAAGACCAGGTTACAGTACTTGCCGTCTTTAATCTTCTTCTTGAGCGCTGGCGCGACTGTGTGGATGTGGGGCAACGAATCCGACGGCACATCATGGCTGAGGTGGTCCGGTAGGCTTGTAGCTGCGTACTCGGTGGGCACTGTGTTATGGCTGGTCATGTTCGCTATCATGTGTTTTAGCTCTGCAAGTTCGCGTTGTAGACTGGCAACACTAACAGGTGACACGGAATTGGTACCATCGTCCCCGAAGTCCGATACGACACTGTAGGGTAGCGTTGTTTGCGTAGCTGGGCCACGGTCAGATACGGTTGACTGCTGATTCTCCCTGTAGTACGACTGGCACTGGCAGCAGTGGCGCGGGGTTCGAGGCTATCCGGGTTTTCTTCAGGCTGTGTGGAGTCGAGAACATTAACCCGATTGCGCTGACTTCTGGCTCGTCTATGTCTCCTCTCCGCCATAATTAGTCTTGGTTAGCTGAGTATCGCGAAACCCGAGATCGGATGGCTTGACTTGACTTGTGATTTAGCACCGAAGCATATGAGAGTAACGCAGTTGAGTGGCTTGCGACAATGTAGAAAGTAGCCTCGTGCGGGGCTGCAGGGTTAATAAAGGTAAACACTGTGACGTCATGTCCGTCTTACTGGGCATGCGCAGACTGTTTAGAAGTGCATTGTGGGATGTAATTACTGTAACATGATCCAGACGGCATAAAAAGCACATTCGGGTGACAGAGTTAAGAAATCGTGTTGAATATAAACGTAATGAGGTGATTGACCTGTAATTGGTATATTAAATATGAACGCGTAAGTACTGTTGTTGTTGCACAAACTAAAATATCCAATTACCATAAGTACCAAAATACCCTGGTTATACGATATCCATCTATATTTTAAGTAAATATTAAATAAGTACCAAAATACCCTGGTTATACAATATCCATCTATATTTTAAGTAAATATTAAATAAGTACCAAAATACCCTGCTTATACAATATCCATCTATATTTTAAGTAAATATATAATAAGTACCAAAATACCCTGCTTATACAATATCCATCTATATTTTAAGTAAATATTAAATAAGTACCAAAATACCCTGGTTATACAAGATCAAATTGGAGGTTATGGAGAATGATGGCTGTGTCATGTATTACCACTAGGTAGATAATGTTGCAACTGTGCTTGTCAAATCCTGATAATTGGTGTTTGTCGTCACTTAAGAAGTTAAGGAACATTACGTGAATGCACAATCTGACTATGAGAACATGGTTACATATACACCATGTCTGTTTACTTTGTTGTTGCAGGTGTGCTCATCCTACCCACAGGCATTGATTGTTCCCAAATCAGTGGATGATGAAACTGTCTCTAAGGCAGCAACCTTCCGTCAGTATGGCAGATTCCCAGTATTGAGCTATTATCATAAAGACAGCAAGGTAATGTGGCAGGTCATGTGCTTCCATGAAACAAAGTCACCATATCTTTGCACCAGTGAAGATCTGGGTTAAAATTCACAGCGAGAGAAACTAACAGTTTTAGTCCACTATTCCTTTTAATGATAACATGTAGTAAAACCATTAGAAAGGGCAAATTTCTACTAGATCTTATGATCCCTAACTATTGGGTAGTTTGGCAAGGACAATAGGACGAGTGCCAGTTTCTAACACTGGTCTCCAGCAACCTGTGCTTGTCATAATTTAAGAAGCGACTATGCTTGTTGCATGAGGCGACTACTGGGTAATGGAATCAAGTGGTCAGACCACTGACTTGGATGATGCATGTCATTGTATCCCGATTACGTAGATCGATGCTAGTAATGTCAATTACTGGATTGTCTGGTCCAGACTCAATTATTTGCAGACCACCATCATGAAGCTGGAATATGCTGAGTGTGGTGTTAAACAACAAACAATACAAACCAAGCCCTTGAGTTGTGAGAGGTTATTGCCAACTATACAATAGTCATTGCGAGTATGTTGTTTGTCTGAACAAATAATTTGGGCATTTTAGATATTTATTAGCTCAAATGGGGGAAGATCAGTAGAGTCTATACAATGGCACAGTGTCATTAATTTGTCATCAGCCAAGATTCATCAGACTAAAAGTCAAGTGGACTTGGCATGTTGTCTGTCCTCTGTCCATCCGTCTGTTGTTAACATTTGCAATTTCGGCATCTCCTCTGAAACTACAATTGTGATGCGATTTTTTAACATTTGCTGCCATGTATCTTTTTGCAATACCTCAGCTATTTCTGTGTGTATCATACTGAACTTTGACATGCAGCAAGTATGTGTTTTTTTGATAACATATGATATGGTTTGTGTATATTTTTGTTTTCATCCAGTTATAACCTTTAATTTTGTTATTTTCTAGTGTTGCTGCATTTTTTTGTCTCTACAAGGCATGTGGAGCTGAAAGTTTGTGTGAAAGTGATCATAGATCTTATCTAAATTGTTGTTTTCAATATCAAATCAAGGAATAATTTTAGTATTCCAGTGTTCATCTCAAATGGTCCCTTGTTAGGAGTTAGACGAAACATGAACTTATGTTATTTTCAGGACCCTGATCCATCGGTGCTTATATACATCATAAAAAGTTGTGGAGTTCTTTCTAAAACTCAACCATATGAAAACAATATCAACTGTTGATTAATTATGTAAATACCTTCCAGGCCAAGCATATATATATCAGATTATCAAGAGATATATCAGATTGCAAAGAGTATAATTCCTTTGAATACCCATCTTGTATAACATCATAGCCATAAATACCTGTTTGGGCTGTCATCACACATATAAAATCTTTAGATTTAGAACAGACATCCTCTTCTTATGAGAGAACCAACCCCCAATCCAAGGCCAATGCAACTGCACATCTACTCATTTCTAAAATTAATTTGAAATATTTTTTCTCAAAACGTGTTTGTTGTTGATTCTCTCAGCTATTCTGCTGGTCATGAAATGCCATCAGTTGAACAATCGATATATCCAGCTTGGGAATGAAAATTTTAAAACTACCCACCTGAAATTAATTTATTAACATTTTCTAAAGACAATATATGCAAATGTCTCAAAAGTTACTTATGGTTTTTAATTAATTGTCATTTTTAGAAGTAGTGAGTCAAAATTTAACGTCGCATCAGCATTATTTCAGCCATATAGTGACTTTTTAGAAGTAACATAACTTCACGTAACACCACTGCCACGGGCTAAGTTGCATAGCCTATCACATGACCAGACTTTTCTCTCATTTTTAAACAAACGCTAAAATCAGAACAGTCTAGGGCTTTGCATATTGTTTTGCATAACTATATAGATATGCTACTAAAACTATGAGACTGTGAGGTGCATGACAAAATATATTTATTCATCAAAGTGATCGTAACTCTTGCACTCTGTGTGGCTTCGATGACAGCATGTGATGTAAACAAAGGAAAACTACGCAAATCGAAATAGGTTTTCACATTTTTGACATATTTTCTCATTGAAAGTTAACCGTGACATATGTTATCTAGATGTGTGGACTCGCCAAAAATGAAACAGAATAAAATATTGTCATTGTTGCTGTGAATAATGTGATTTGGCGCGGTCACGGTATGTGGCTAAGCGGACCCTATGGAAGGGGGTAAACAGAAGTTGTAAGTATCGGAGGGACACACGATTTGGCTGAAATTTAGGTGAACATTATTGAATGAAATTTTCAATAAAATCAATAAAATAGATATATAGTGAACACATTTTTATTACCAGATAGTGTAACAAAAGGATTAACTTGCGTAATTATCCCCCGCCGCGCGAAAGCGCGAAGCGGGGGATATAGTATTCACGAACTATGGTGTATATACAGACACCGCAGACACCAGTCGGTTTTGGTGACCTTGACCCCATTTTCAAGGTCACAGCGGGCAAATCTGCTTTTGGAGTTGGAAAACGGTGTTGCCGCGATATCTCAAGAACTAAACACTGGATTGTCTTCATATTTGGAACTATAGTGTATATACAGACTCCGCAGACACCAGTCGGTTTTGGTGACCTTGATCCCATTTTCAAGGTCACAGCAGGCAAATCTGCTTTTAGAGTTGGAAAACGGTGTTGCCGCGATATCTCAAGAACTAAACCTCTCGATTGTCTTCATATTTTGAACTATGGTGTATATACAGACACCGCAGACACCAGTCGGTTTTGGTGACCTTGACCCCATTTTCAAGGTCACAGCAGGCAAATCTGCTTTTGGAGTTAGAAAACGGTGTTGCCGCGATATCTCAAGAACTAATCGCTGGATTGTCTTCATATTTGGAACTATAGTGTATATACAGACACCGCATACACCTGTCAGATTTGGTGACCTTGACCCCATTTTCAAGGTCACAGCAGGCAAATCTGTTTTTGGAGTTGGAAAACGGTGTTGCCACAATATCTCAAGAACTAATCGCTGGATTGTCTTCATATTTGGTACTATGGTGTATATGGCGGGGGATATTTCGTCACTCTGTGACAAATACTTGTTCAATATGGATTGTTGATATGCTATTTCCGATGAAGGATCAGAAATGATACAATAGAAACGTCTGTGCGTATTATACACGAGAGATATTTTTTTTGCAGGATTTAATTGCCTATGATTACGGGTGCGTATTGTACACAAAGAAATACAGTAATCTCTAAAGCCATGAAAGGGGGTTCCCCACCCAAAGCATTCTCCTGTCCTTTAATTGCAATATTCTTGGTCATACAGCAGTACACAGTATAAATGTACTTTGCTTAAATTGTACAAATATCTTGGATATACTTCACGTAATCGTCTTTGCATGTCTTGCGAGTCAATCCAAATATCCTCAAGATAATCGTGTTGTTTATCTTGGCCAGGGGCCATCTTGTGGACATTGACTTTCCAACTGAGACTGATTTTTAAAATGTCGCTTGTGAGTTTCGTGAATGTCCGATGCGATAAGATACTGAGTTATCTGATGTATTTCACCCTGCAGATCTTTTCAAGGTGCAACAGTTTCAAATCATGTTTTAATTGTTCACACTCTTCTTGTTATGTGGGAAAGATGGCAGTTAGGCCATCACTGTCGCACACTGCCTGGTCATTTTGCTGCCAAACATTCCCATCAGTCACAAAGTCATTTGCAAACTAGCCATTTTTTTTTAATCCAAAGCTGGCGAGTTGGTGTCATACTTGAAATGAAATGGTGGAGCCACCTATCTGTAAGATAAGGGAGGTAACTAATATTTCCAATATGAAACAAGAGAGGCAACTCGTGGTGCACAGCCAGAGATTCCTGTCATCAATATTTTAACTGGTAAAAATGTCAAACATATCAACATAGATTTAACTGAATCAATATCCGGACATTTTTTAGTCTGGTTTCAACCACCCTTTCCACACTTCATAAAATATAATTCTCTTCATAGGTTTAGAGATTATTTTCTATTTTGACTGAATTTGCTAAAGTGATGTGGTATAGACTTGTGATTTACTAAATGGTAAAAGTGTCAACAAGGAAATGTCACAAGTCCTTTTTGAATTTTGCTAGTCTCGGACAAGCAGAAATTTATTTATTTAGACCCTGCTTGGATAAGCCATGCGAAGGTTTTGGTCAAGATTTGTCAAAAGTCTAGATCCCAAAGAATAGACAGTGATAGGCCTGCTTTTGTTTTTGCATTATCTTTAGCATACTGAAAAATTCGGACACTTTATGTGGTTGTTTGTCACCTTTATGGGGTTTTGAGCCGGAAGTTTGATGAAATTTTTAGGCATCAAAATTGAAAGTAACGACTGGAAAGACATTTCAGGCAAACTTATCAATGTCCAAAACAGGCAATTAAGGCTCTGAATTGAAACCTTGTCTGAAGGAATTGTAACTGTTGTATATTACAGTAGTTAATACTCTCTTATAGGGCAGTTATAAAGGTAATAAACACTGTTTTGTCATTTTAGTTACTTATTTCAAACTAGTCATGTCAGTTTGACCTTGATATTGTGCAGAACATATTTGAATAACAGTATTGACATCAACTTGGGTGGTTGTCTTTGCCAACATTTTAAACTGTCATTTGCACATCCAGGTTTAGCTACAGTTGACGTGGCACTGTTTTAATCCTTTGAAATGCTAGAGTGAAATTATCCTAAACTTTTTAACTTATCCTGCATTATTCCTTAATGCAGTTACTGCGTGTTCTTGACAGAAAAAGAGCTCGTGAGAGGTTTGCTGAAGAAGAAGTTGTTCCAACTGGTTGTGCAGCTAACACTATCACACAGCTCCCATGTGACCCCGGAAGTGGTGACATCACTGAACAGCACATTGCTGCTGTCACAAGTCCCGAGACGAGACCTTTTTTTGCGCCTCAGCATAGCTACGTGAATTCTTTGAGTGTTTTCTACTCGATTGTCATTTTGTGAATTTTTACTTATCCTGCATTACTCCTTATAG